AACAGGGATTAGGAGAAATAGTAAAAAGACAAACTTTAGTAAGGGCTACAAAAGAACAAGAAGTTGTGGAGAGTCATGATTGCTCATATCCTGAATAGACATGGCACACAATATAACTGCAAGGCTCAAGAGACACTCAAGTTAAGGTTACTAAATGAGGTTGTTTTATGGATATGTACAATAATTAACATTGAAAGTTAAGACTGTAGTGTATGGGAAAGCATCCTCTCAGGAGTCTGCCCTATAAAGTAGCAGCTCTTGGAAAGATGATGTTTGAATGAAACTTACTTCTTACAATGGAATATGAAGGGTGTGAGGATGATTCACTTCTGTGTATATAGCATGGTGGGTCTAAGCTATGATGTATGAACTGGTAGAACTTGGGAATGGAAATCAGTTGATCAGATTTCCATAGTTTGTGATGTTGTGTCTGGAGGTAGAAAATAATTATCACAAACAAGCTTGTATAAACACTTTTGAACTCTGTCAAGGCTGGAAATCGAGGATTGGGTAGCTCCAGACTCTGATATGGCAGCAATATTCAGTTTATGGAACAAACATCAGTCAGTGTTAAAACAATTGTCTTTTGGTTTTTTTTTTCTAACTTTGATCAGAAGTCCTATAAACCATTTGGTTGTAGGGGCATAATACGTACTGCAGCCATATGAACAATTGGTATGTCTAGGGCAAGGTAGTTTGAAGAAACTCCTTTCTTCATGCTGATTTTCAATTCAGAATTTTTCTTCTAGACTAAAGAGCCCTGTCAACCCTGTTTTTTAACCCATAGCTGGGGGGAGATGAACACCTGCTTTTTCAACTATTATTTCTTAAAAAGATGGCAAGAGAAAGAGACAAAGAGATAAGAATGTCAAATGTCAAAAAAAGCTTTGATTGCAATCTAAACAGAATCTACCAAGGAAAAATATTTCTTTATAATTAGTGGAATTCAACTTTTTGACAAATTGCTGGAACCTTGACCAAATGAAAAACAGCTCAGCTCCAACCAAACCTACAAGGGATAAATTCTTCTATTTGTTTTGTTCTGAGGCATTCGAAAGGAATTCTTTCTTATGAACCTGGATCAACAGTTACTGTGCAATGATATAGTGAGCTACTTGCTTGTTTGAATGTCATCTTTTTTTTGAGCAAGAAAATCAATTGAAGATTTTATTCTATCGTCATACAACTTCTTCATAATTTCTGTTGGAATTTCTGGAATGAGGAGTTATCATTATTTACACTATTAACATTCGGACTATTGTCCTCATCTTTGTTGTCATCACAACATTTCAGCCATTTTGCCTTCCAACTAAGTGGAAACAGGGCAAGCCATAACTGAACAGTACTAAAAATAAGAACTAGTTGGGATATCCCTAGACATGAGAAGTGGAACAAGAACAGTCTGCACCCATAGATTAAATAAAGAGTTTAGTTTAAAATTCCCTGTAGGTTACCTGGATTGATATACACCTGATGAAGACTGGATGGCACAATGGTAGAAACATTGTGATAATAACAATAAAGATGAGGACAATCTAATGCAGAAGACAACTATGAGGCTGGTAGGGGAAGTTCTTCTATATGAAGTCTATTCTCCACTCCGGTTACGTTCAGACTGTCATTTCTTTCTTTCTATGCAGATGTAGCAAATGATGATGATGATAGCAGAAGTTCTTCCATATGCAGCCTATTTTCCAACCCATTCACGTTCAGGCTATCACTTTTTATAACTTCTTGTTTGATCTGTGTTTCCAATAAGCCCAAGATCTCAAAGAAACTCGAGTCAAAACTGGAATCATTTTTTAAGACAGCACACACAATTTAGTTGAATAGGTCACAGATATCTTTGTAAATATTTTTAGGACCTAATAATGATGCTATGAATTAGTGTGAATAAACAATTTAATCAAAAAAATGCTAGAAAACTTTGCATCAAACTAAAATGAGAAAGATAAAAAAACTTTCAACAATATTGGCAAATTTACTCATTTTTTGGTGATATACTCACAATTGTTTGTCTATATTTCTGAGATGAGGTATTATGTACACTATTTACATTGTTCGGACTATCATCCTCATCTTTGTTCCTATATTTATCACAACATTTCGGCTGTTGCATGCTCCAGCCTTCATCAGGTGGTTGGAATGTTGAACTGAACCCTTTATTTCACTCGCTGGGGTAGACTGTTCTCGTTCCACATGCCATGTCTAATGGATGTCAGTTATCACCTGTTAATTCCCCTCTCAAAGTTCTCCACTGCCTTAACCAAGTATTGAACTCACACTCTTTGGGTCCTGTCACTGGATCTAACCAATGCCTTTATCCACTGTGCAACAAATTTGAGGATGATAGTCCGAACAATGTAAATAGTATACTCACAATTGTCAAACATGTATTTTAGATTTGAATTCATTCTTACAAATAAAACAAATACCAAATAGCAATCATGTATTCTTGAGATATGAACAAAAAAAAAAAATGAATATACAAAACAAAGAGTAAATTGGAGATGTTTACTTACCTCCAAAAACGGTCCCAAACTGTCCAGAACCAAGAACATCTTCGGCACAAATTGTATACAGGACACTGATATCCTGGAAATAGAACAAAACCAAATTTCTGAAATTCTTGCCACATTCATATGAATTTTTATCAACAGTACAATTTTTATAAAATCATTCTTAATTCTATAAATCAGAAATTTTGGAAGTGTGAGTTGCCTAACAATTTTCTTTTTCAAATTATTTCACCTCAAGCAAGGCAATAAAGCCACTAAGATGCAAGGAGTTACTAAGTGTGAATGAATATTAGAAAAAGAAAACATTATTGTGAGGAGAGTACAATAAAGTAACAGGAATTAACAAAAGAAAATAACGATATATTTTCGAAGATCAAAGTTGATTGGGAAGCAATAAGCCAAAAGAGAGTCCCACAAGGGAGAAGTTCAATAGAAGAAACTGTTAGCATAGAACATATGCTTATATATAGATTTTTCAACTCTAAAATGATGAGATCATGCCTACAATCTAGTACTACACTTAAATTCCTAATGTCTAGGTACCATAGAGGCAAGTTTATCAGAACAATTAGGCATGAAAATATTTATAGGAAAGGCACAGGGAAGATATATCACAGCAGTGGGAAAGGGACTATAGCTGAGATGCAAGGTCAGGACCATTAATGTTGCAGATTCTTTAGATTTTATCAAGAATCTCTAAAATATATAGCAGAAGCACTGCACTATATGTTGCAGCAATATAAGAAACAAGAACAAATGGTAGACTTATAAATATAGAAGATGGATTCTGGCAAGAAAAATTGTCTAGTATGTCATAGTGAACCAACTTAACTGCAGACTTAGCAATTGATTCTATATAATCTTTCCACTTCATGAGAGCTGAAAATGTTAGTTCTAGAAGACACAATGAGTCACTCTCCTGAAGGCTAGCATCAGCCATACTGATGGAAGGTAAAAAGGGTTCTCTCGGAATAGCTTCATTTTTGAGGCATTACAATTAAAGAACTGAAGCCGGGATGTCAGGTCAGGACAAATAACACTGCAGATTAAATGTGTGAATGGATGGTACAGAAAATGAAATTATTGAACCAGTTTCTGTCCATACATTTGGGAAAAACAAATCTGTCACTTCTCCCAACCTCCCACAATATAGATTAAATAGTAGAGAAGACTATGTTCTCTAGTCTTGATAGGCAACTAATGGGTGAATCTTTAACGAGCCTTGCCAGGCAGGAATGGATTGACTAAAATGTTAATTTTTACAAAAAGTTTTTATTATTACTTTTAATTTATTGAAAATATGATCAGGTGTAAATATTTCTTTTTCATATGGTTTATCAACCTTTTAAACGTCATTTAAAGCCAGAAAATGTTTTTAGATTCTAAGAAATTTTTGGAGATAGTGATTTACTGATACAAGTCCTACTAATTAACCCAGTGAATTAACATTATTCCCTAGACTATTTGTGCATAAGTGAATATTGAGTGGAATTGGAACTGGGTTCTCTGATTTCCAATTCTGAGCTGTTATTCATTACACCACCTGCACATCCAAATAGCGATAGAGTAGCAATAGGCTTGCAAGGTAGCCATTGTGGGAAAGAGGCTGCAGTAAGAATTTTTGGGAGATAATGATTTACTGATACAAGCCATATTAATTAACCCATAGCAGGGAGCAGAAGATGTGGATTCATACCTTTTCCAAGGATATTCATATGTAAATGAACATAATGAACTCAACTGGAATTGGAACTTAGCTCTCATTTTTCTACTTCCGAAACATTGTCCATTACGCCACCTGCACATCCATGCTTACAGCGCCCGGTATTCCAAAGTGATCACACATCCAGGTACTGACCAGGCTTGATGTTGTTTAACTTCGGTAATCATATGAGAACGGGTGTTTCAACATGATATAGACATAAGGCTTTTATACTATTGTTCACAATTTATAAGGCCAAAGAGCCACTCAAGGTAGAAAGTTACTGAATGAGGTCATCATAAGGCTGGAAAAGGAGGAGGGAATAAGAAGTGCATATTATAAGGATATGTAGAATAGATAACTGTTGACCCTAAACTACAATTATAGTCAACAGGGAAGTATTTTCTTGGGAGTCTGTTCCATAAAGTAACAGTTCTGAGGAAGAAGCTGTCTGAATGGAACTTCTTTCTTACTAATGGAATACAAATGAATGAGGATGAGTCAACCTCATGCATGTGTCATGGCAGGTCCTAGATGTAAAGTCTGTTGGTACTAAGAAATGTAGTCTGTCAGGACACTTGCCATGAAAATAGCAATAGAGTAGTGAAAGGCTAGGAATGTTTTGTTCATTGGAAAGTGTGTTGAGTCCAATCTAGTGGGGAATGACTGCAAAACACTTACCCCTCCTCCCCAATTTATAGGCCAAAGCACACAAACACATGCTAGGATTTTTTTCTAGAAAATAAAATAGGCAGGTTCTCAGTTTCATCTGACTCAGTCCTTGTCTGTCCTGTTTTAAAGTTAGAATGCTATGTTCACTTGCTTTTGCATTCAGTCTCAATTCTTAGTTTGCAAACTTTTGCCATATTACTGTTGCTTTGCCTTGCATACATAGTTTCCTTTATATTATTTTTGCCTTGTTCTTTTCCTTTTCTTGTTATTGCAAACTTTGTCAATTCTGTTTGTTGAACAGTTCTGTTACTTATTTTGTACTTAACCATGGCTTCTCACTCCACAGTGTGTGCAAGATGGAAAATTTTCTTCTGATATGCAAAACCCATTTTTCATGATCTGTAAGAATGGGTCGCAAAAATGAAAGGTTGGCATGCCTGATTGTAAAACAACTGCAGATGGTGAAATGTGCTTGACTCATGAACCCAAATTGCAAGTTTTCCCAATTTGCTTGGGATGTTTGGGGAAAGTTGTTTATGACACATTAAGTTTTTGTACCCAAACGTATGGTGCTTCAATGTAGATCCAATTCAAGAGTCTATCAAAATTTCTTAATTCAGAGAGGGTCTTCTTCCAGAGTGAAGTTTGTCAAATACATTACAATTACCATTTTCAAACCTTTTAAACCACAGCTGACTTCACTGCATTTATATACTGTGCAAATGTTTTTAAATGCCTTTATTGCAGTATTATCCTTTTGGACTCTAATTTTAAACTGCCTTGTAGGTATATCCACACAAAAAATACTATGGAATTAAATCCAGAGTGGAGGACTAGTTGGCTGCCAACAATGAGAACCTTCCAGCAACTCCTGCAGCCAAGCCAGCCCCAAATGTAATGCCCTGTATTCTTTTGGATTTTGTCAGTATGGTTAACAGTGGGATTATGTTGTCTGAGCAATGCGCAGCTCCCATATACCTTCACCCAGACCTGCACCCTGGAGAGGTTACTTCAAGCTCACCACAACACAGGTGACAGAATTTTTACAATGCAGAAAGAAGAGAGGCCAATCTTTGATCTTCATTGTGTATTCCAGCTTTGCCTGCCACACCTGCAGAAGAGACTGCCATGCAAAGATTGAACTGTTAAGCCATTCCAGATGCCACTCACAAAATGACAGAATTTTGATCAAAGAGGGTGTTACCATTCTTTTGCAAGATAAACAGATGGCTATCTACCCTTTTCTTTCTTTGTGGAAGCTGTTTCATGCCTTAAGTTCTCTGAATCTCTGGATAGAACCTTGTATATTTAATTATTAAGTAGTAATTATCCTAGACTTGTCTTATTAAATCTATATAAGAGTTGTCATTTTATTACTTTTCTTTATAAAATTCATTGCTACAGGAACTGAAAATAGTGAAGGATAAAAAAAAAAAAATAATTTATGCCTTCATTAAGTTTTTACTGGCAAGTACCAACTTTGTATACAAGTTTCTCAAGTAACTTTAAAACCTTATCTATAATTGCAAATAAAATTTATTTTTCACCTTATTCTCCATCATGGGAAACAAAATAAGCTATCAATAAAAAGGTAGACAAATATGATGAATGCTAACAGATTATGAACGGAAAAATATTTCTTAACTTGTATATCGTTAAACTCAAAAGAGAATATCTAAGAGTAGATAAGATAAAAGTTGAGAATCTAATAATAATCCTGAGGGTAAATATTTCTAAAAATATAAGTAAAAATCAGTTTTCTGTGTGTGTCTGCCAGGAAAAAAGAAAACAGAATCTTCAATTAATCACTACAGATTTTAAAATTGGCAACTATACCTGGCAGCCACCTGCAGTTAGAGTCACAAGCATATATCTCAAAGTGTAGCATTCTATGATATAAATATATTCATGGAAAGTAACACCTATTCTCTAGCCATGTTAAGATATGTTTGTATATTTAAATATACATGGAAATTAGTTCTATTAATATTTATTTGTTTATTAAAACTAACAAACTGACACTAAGACAGACCCAAACTGACACTGCCGCAAAAAGAGACATGGGTAAAGTAAAAAAAAAAAAAAAAATATATACATATATCTTCTATTCTCTATTTTTATAGACAAGTAATATTGCAATACAATTTAAATTGGAAAATTTCCCCTCTCTCAATTAATAAAAGAAAATCCTCTTCCAGCCAGTAGATAGAGCAGTCATCCTTTATTCAACAAGTCAACACACACACACACACATGCATTGCAACAATGATTCAAGCAATGATTGAATCAATTGCTATTTGGATAGACGTAATGTTTTGATTATTACCAAATAATATTACTTGTTTGAACAAAACAGCAAGAGATATTCCTGAAGGTAATCCTTGATGTTCTGCAAGAACCAAAAAGCCGTTAAGTTTTCATTTCCTTCACTGGAAACCTTATTTGTTTCAATCAGAGACAAAAATGCATATATGAAATATAATGGAGGAAAAGAAAGGGAAAATGAAGAAAAAAAAAGAAAAAAGAATGGATGAAACAAAGAGAAGCAAAAAAGAAAATTGGCACTTACCCGTTTTGCATCTGAAGAATCAACAGAACTTTCTTCATCTGAAGAAAATAGGAAATTAAAAGAAATATTCAGTGTAAAGTAGAATATTGTTCCGATCAAAGTGCAGTTTGAAATTACATTTGTTCCTTCAGACTTGAAGGCTTTCTGAGATTAGCTTGAAATTACAAACCCAAAATTTATGCTCAATTATTATCATAAAGAAAACAAACAGAATAGAAAGTAATTGACAAGCACCTTTTAAATGATTTAAAAAAAAAAAAAACTTCCAAGTAGAATATAAAATATGACATCTTATTTTTTTATTAGATGAAGCACTGTCAGCCATTATTCATTTTTGACTAAGATTTCCTTCATCTTAATTTCACTTGCTTTTTATTACATTAGTAGTATTAGTAGTAATATTATCTAGCATTTTATTATTATTAGATGAAGCATTGTCAGGGATTATGCATTTTTGACTAGGATTTCTTACACCTTAATTAAAGTTTTTAATTCAGAGTTTTTCCTTCTCCTAAACTAGTTGCCAACCAATGCTATAAGGCCCAGTTTGCCCTGCTATTCACCAATAGCTTAGATGGTTTTATACCTTTTCCAAATTATTTGCACATAAGTGAATGTAACAAACTTGATTTGCATTCAAACTCAGATTTCTCATTCTGAGCCACTACCCACTACACCACCTGCACATCCATATATATATATATATATATATATATATATATATATATATATGTGTGTGATTCACATCAGGAAATACTAAAGGTTTGACTCAAATGTAATGTCCATCAGGAACCTTAATCTCAGAATTGTTCTGTGGTGATCCTCGTATGCATATAGTCACACTAAGAGATTATAGTGTAAGCTTTGTATTCAGCCTAGGAAGCCCAAACAACTAGGAGACCCAAGAGTTGACCAAGAAGAAAATCTCAAACCCACTAAGTGCAGAAGTGAGCATGTCAGGGTGCACAAAAAAAAAAAAACTGAAAATGAACCCAGGATATACACACTCAAGACAAACAGGTAACAGAAAGTTATATAAATGCCCAACCTACAAGGAGAGAAGGAAAATCACTCACATTCACACAAGAAGATCAAAGAAGAATAACCTGAAACCACATAACCTTGATTCAGCTGATGTTAATTTGGAGTCCAGAAGTGAATAACCAAATTTTTTCTTTTTATCTATATATAAAATTCTGTCATGAAATTTATCTCTTTTTTTTGTGTAGCGAGGGAAAGAGCTTCTTGATCAATAACTTCCCAAAATACTCTTATAGACACACTAGAGGTATGTACACATATATGCAAAAGCAAATACTATATATATATATATATATATATATATATATATATATATATATATATATTTACTTTAAATGTTATTTTTAGTGGTTACCTGTATTTGAGTAGACACTCCATTTATTTTAAACAGTAATTTATTTCATTTACCAGCCTGCACATTTGAGAAAATTTATTAAAGAAAATGCACTCACTGGCAGGATTTGAACCTGCATAGACCTTTGCAGGAGAAGTCACCATTTATACAATGTGCTTTAACCACTAGGCTATGAAAAGCTTCACAAATAAATAAAATATGATTCTATTTGCCTTTAAAGCACAATTTACTAGTTCAGATTCTGTTTTTTGATCCGACATATTTCTATTACTCTAACCGTTATTTTTAGTGGATACACGTATTCAAGTAGGGGATCTGTTTATTTTAAACAGTACTTTTATTTTGTCTACTAGTCTACATTTTCAAGAAAACTTATTAAAGAAATTTTTATCAAATGTGTACGCTGGTAGACAAAATAAAATAATGCTTAAAATAAACAGAGACTCTACTCAAATAGAGGCATCCACTAAAACTAAATATTAAAGTAATGAAAATGTTGGATTAAAAAATAAAATCCATTAATTCTTTGGAAATTTCAGTAAAAGTCTAGAATTGGGGGCATAACTCAGATGCACAAAAATTAAAGTAATTTTTTAATCATCATCATCATCATTCAAGCATAGTCAGGATCCCTGAGCCAATGTGAACAATCCTTTCTTGAGCTATATGCTATGCCAGGGCTACATGTAATCTTGAATTTAGAGTTACTTTCTCCTAGACTGGTTGCCACCCAAAGCTATAGAACTCAGTCTGTCCTGCTATTTACCCATAGCTAGGGGGAGAAGAGGATTCATACCTTTCCCAAGGGTAGTAGCCTGTAAGTGAATGTAATGGATTTGACTGGAATTCAAACTCAGCTCTCTGATTCCTCAATCTGAGCCACTACCCATTGTACCTTTAGAGGTTCTGAATTCCAGTTCTAGGATTTAATAGAGCAAAAGACAATGGAGAAGGTGAGATCTAAATCCAAAGGTGCAGTGGATTCATTTGCTTAATATTCTAATGGCACTTTGGAGGACTTGAAAGAAATTCTGAAGAATTTAATTACTTTGTAGAATTTTTTTTTCTGATAGATCGAGAAGCAGTCATCCAAAGATGTATTGAACAAGGTTCTATGATCATTAGTGATGGCTGGTTCACTTATAATGGACTAAATGATCTGGCAGGGGGGGGCAGTTACAAAGTTATACAAATAAAATAAATTCATGAAAATAATTTTATTGATTTTTACATGAATCTTTAATTCATGCATAAACAATAGAGAATAGTTGACTTCATCTATAAAAAAAAAGAAAAAAAAAAGTGATTTCTCAAAGAACCAACAAGCATCCACATGAATGGAAATATAGTGAAGAGAATATATATTTTGAAAAAAAAAAAAAACAAAAAAAAAAACTGAATATAAAAAAATGAAAAAGGATCTATATAAATTTTATCTTGTGAATTACAGCCAATTTTAGGCCCTGATTCAAAACTTTTATCAAAATTTCATAAATATATATATGGCAAGCCACTCGTATTTGAGGATAACCGTCTATTAGGGCGGCTAGCCAATCCCTACTGCAGACTCTGCTCAGGCACATTTGTGTTTGCACAACACCCACAGAGCCAACCTGTGGTTTATCCTGCAACTATGCTGAGCAGACCTTAGTTACAGATTCTGGGAGAGAGCATATTATTTAGCATGATCTACAAACTGAACAAGGCCAGTATACTCAAATCCTTGGTCATGATGACTTGTGACTTTGTGCTAGGACAGCTGTGGCGACCTGCAAGGGTTCCACCTACCCAATTTCACTCACAAGGCTTAGGTCAACCTGTGGTATGGTTTTTATTCACCCACTTTCCAAAAGTACCACATGCTGGGATCACCCCTGTCCAGACAGATAACATCAGGAAGTCTACTTTCTGACAAATCAACTTTGATGAGATTCAAACCTGGCTCTCATGGTCAGAAAGTGAACATTCTAACTACTTGGCCATGTGCCCATAACACACACACACATATATATATATATATATATATATATATATATATATATTTATACAAGGTGTGCACTATATATCTTGCATACATATCAGGTTATATATTTGTAAATCTGTTTAAATCTAGTGTCAGATGGTTTTCACATTCACTCAACATGACATGTTCTAATTTTTTTTTTATACTTCAATTCAGTCAAGGCTAGAAATCCTTTTACAGTCAGCAAAGTTCTTGTCATCATCAAAAAAGCAGTAAGTGCTTACTACTTTAATGGCAGAGACTAACTGTACGACAAATACAAATATCTGAGTCAATTAAATCATTTACCATCCCTCCCTCACACCCATTCAATTTACGCGCCTCCCCATTTGCCCCCTCCAATTTCATTCACTCCTGGATGAATCATTTACCAGCTTTTAAGAAGTATGTAAAGCCCAATTTGACTTTTTGAATGCATTAGATTTTCATATTTGGCTTTTTCATTTTGGTGAAACAATCAAAAGTTGAAACTTTAGAGGTTCTGAATTCAATTTCAGGGATTTATGTAAATGTAATAGAGCAACAGACAATGGAGAAAGTGACACCAAAATCCAAGGGTACATTGAAATAGCAGAAGATGCTTTACAGAAGCTAAGCAATTAGGAAACAGAAAAGTTTCATCAGAAACAAAGAAGAGTGCTGAACTACTAAATAATAGTGGTCCTTCTCTTATGGCAGGGAATGTTGGACAATTCTTTTACAGATGAAGAGGATTGATTGATCAATTAATTTTCTATGGCTTATCAACCCATTGCAGGTTAGTTAAAGCCAGAAAATATATACAGATTGTAACTAAAATAAATACTAAAGGGGTGAAAATTTAATTTCTTGAAAGTTCATAAAATTAAGCAAGTGGAGAGTAACTGATGTAAAAAAAAAAAAAAAAAAAAAAATCCTAAAATAATTTCATTCATTTGTGAATAAATCCTGAAAGTTTCATTAAAATCCAACAATTATTTGATCTTTGCAAGAATTTTCAAAATAATGTGTTTTTTAACCACAAAAAACCACCCCCAACCACCTGAAGAAGGCCGGAGTGTACAACAGACAAAACGTGGGGATAAATATGGCAACAAAGATTAGGACAATAGTCCAAATAATGTAAATAGTGTTCTGTTAAAGTTGTTAAGCTCAAATATTTAACAATGTGATAGGGAAATTTCTACAGATATTTTATTGTTATAGAACATGACATGACCTCACTCAATCATTAACTTAAGAATATTAAAATAGTAAAACCATGAAATTTTCACAGGTTAAAACTAGTTTTTATGTGGGAGTTGGACAACAAAATGGTGTGCAGAAAAAAATCATCACTATTTAAATCAGCAGATTTGTGTGCCGTCACATCCCTATACCTAAGAGATGTTTTTTTTTTAAATACCATCTCTCCTGTGTGCTGAGGCAAATATCGTTCTCCACAGATAACTTCTTTATTATCTGTGAACTTTTTTTTTTTTTTTGGAAAGATTTTGATTCTGGATGCCAAGAAAAGCCAACTAACCAATACTTCTGGCTCTTCTATTGCAGAGCATGTAATAAATAGCATGAATTGTGTGTTTGATTTTAGTTGTGACCGTTTTTCGATTTTTATTTAGGTCCATACTCCTCATATCATC